GAGTATGGGTCACCATACTTGGCCACATGTCACGTCACTTTTCACTTTTTCACTTTTCACTTTTCAATATTACAGCGAGAATAAAAGTTACTCCTTCTTTCTTTGTGTGAACATTTGGGCGGTGTTATGCAAATCTTCCCAGATCGTGACGTAGGTATGTGGGGGCGTGTTAGAACGAGCCGTTTTAGGTAGGCGTGGTTGACTCTGAACTTTTATAAAGAATATCTCTTTGGATTTGAGACTTTAGTCTTTGCAACTTTACAGATCTTCTTTATGCACCAAGAGCTTGTAACACTCCAAAGAGAAAGGAAAATTTGAAATCGCATCATATGACCCCTTTAACAAAATACTTGGATAACATGCTTTTCGTCCTCTTGAAAAATTACACGCATGCACAGTATCATCAGCTCATCGGTTCTCAAATCTGATGTGTCCGAAAGAAACGGTTCTTGGTTGAGTGTACTGGTGATCCGAAAACCGATGCAACGGGTTTGAAAACGAGAACAGCTCCAGCAGTGGGCGTGTACGTTCGTTATCCGGCTCGCTGCACACATGCTGCTCTGCTCGTGTTCATCTTTAGTTCTCTCTTCACAGCAGTTCAGTCAGTGTACTGTTTGAGTAAATGAATTACTCCGGGATATTGGTTTATTTAGACTCAGAGGGAGTGTCAGCCACGTTAAAAAAGTGAATAACTTAAGTAATTTGTGGATTAATGCTTAGACGCGAACCATTTCAAACGATTCAGTACGATTTGGTGAACTGGTTCAACCGGTTCACTAAGAAGAACTAGTTAAATCAAACGATTCGTTCGCGAACCGGACATCACTACGGCGTTGCACACAGAGGACAAAAACGTTCAGCCTCGACACTTTATCGTCATTTGTGTTAAAATTTGCAAAGCGTAACAAATTGAACAAAACTATATAAATGCAAAATTTGAATTCATGAATATACAGTGGGTACGGAAAGTATTCAGACCCCCTTAAATTTTTCACTCTTTGTTATATTGCAGCCATTTGCTAAAATCATTTAAGTTAATTTTTTTTCCTCATTAATGTACACACAGCACCCCATATTGACAGAAAAACACAGAATTGTTGACATTTTTGCAGATTTATTAAAAAAGAAAAACTGAAATATCACATGGTCCTAAATATTCAGACCCTTTGCTGTGACACTCATATATTTAACTCAGGCGCTGTCCATTTCTTATGATTTTAGCAAATGGCTGCAATATAACAAAGAGTGAAAAATTTAAGGGGGTCTGAATACTTTCCGTACCCACTGTATAACAGTATCCACGGTATAGCAAAATCCATATCATGGAACAACTTAATACCGGTAGTCACTTTCATACCGGTATAGCGCCCACCCCTACTGCAGACTGCCGTCCATCAGCTGCTGGCTCTCTGTAGGAATCTCCATCATAAACAAACACTTACTAACAATGACACTCTAGGGCTGTGCGATTAATCGAAATCGAATCGAAATCGCGAT